TTGTTCACAGGTGCTTCTTGCTGGCCCAGTGTGAATTGAAATGTGGTGGATCTGGCGTGGTGCCGACAGCTGTTGAACTCATCTATCGTGTCATTGGTTTGCACGTCTGCTAGCGGCAGATTGTATGCTCTGTGCTCTGATGAAGTGGAAGATCTCAGCCCAGAGAGGCAACAAATCAGCTGTGCATGTTATAGATGACCACAAGCAGCTTTGCACCCATGGATACCTGCCCTCACCCCTAGCAATTGCGAATTAGATGTTCGATCGCTGTTTGGCAAAGCCAAACTATTTAAGGTGTATGCATAAATATTACTCTTTATTCCACACAGGTAAATTCCTTTCTCCACACTTTTTTGTTCTAAATGAGTAAACCTTGTCTTGCTTTACACAGGTTTTCTGCTTGTTTCATAACTCCTTATTCTCAGCTGTGCATACTTCAGCACAAGTAAATGTTGCTTCTCCATTGTTTTTTTTCTCAGAGTTAGTTTGTTAGGGGAGAACTGCAGCTGAACGATGGCTTTGAAAATGTCAAATGAAATGAATCCAGTGTTTAACTGAGTAGGGCTGAAACGTGACTTCTTGAAAGAAGTTTGCAGAAGGTTTGAAAAACCTGTTGATGTGAGCAGAAGGGGCTCAGAGCTGTCATGGTGTAAGCTGACTTCTGGGATCACCTTCAAGTTGACATTCATCAGCATTTGCAGAGCTGGCTGAACCCCACTCCTTTTAAAGATTTAAGGGCTGTAATCCCTTGGCTAGATCAGAGGGTAAGGCAGATATTAGAGGTGGATTTCCAAAGTAGTGTTTGGGGGAATTTACCTCATCAGAGTTCTGTGGGGGGATTGAGCGCTTGCTGAAAAGCCACTGCAGCTTATGTTGCACAAAGCACTTCCAGGAGACTTCTGTCCTTCCTAGTGAAAATTTTCCATTTGAGAAGTGAAAAAGTGTTTTGTTTTCTCCCTTAAGCCCTTTGTTGACACACCTTCTGGAGAAGGGGCTTGCTGAAAAATCAGGCAGGTGTTGCCTGATGGTGGCTGGCGTGCGCTTTGTGATACTGAATTACCAGCCAGGGTGCCAAGAGTGGGTAATACAGTATGTCTGCACAGGCAGGTGGGGAGGGCAGGGCTGCGGGTGCTGGAATGTTTTCTTCTTTCCGTTTAAAACATATTATTAAGCAAAAAGCTAAATTCACTGTTGTCTTTAGCAGTCTCTTGAAGTCTGCTTATTTGGGCATGACGTGCAGCAATTGAACCCCAAAGAAAAATCTGAGCCAAGCTTTTCCCCTCACTCCTGAGTAGATAACGTGTTGCCAGGCTTCCTTCTTTTGTTTCCAATAGCTTTGCTGTGTGTCTGGTAAAAGCCATGTTCCCACTCCTCTGGCTGTTGGCGCAGCTTTTAGTCCTCATGCTAGGAAATGACTGTCGCTAAATGACAGGCTTGTTGATAGAGATCAGGTTCATTTTTAGTACTTTTTTTTTTTTTTCCTAATTAGGTTAATTTCCTTACTCAGGCAAGTAACAGAAGTATATTGGTTAATAGTGATGCTTTAGACTTGTTAAATACTTGAAATGGAGGCAGTTAAGAGGTACTTAAGGGAGAAATTCATTTATTGGCAATTTTCAGTCTGGACTAGTGCTAAATGTTGGCTCTGTTTTGATTTTTGACATCACTGTTTTTCAAACAACAATCTTGTCCTTCCTTCCCAGGTAGTGGCATAAGGGTACTGAATCTGTCTTGGGTCTCCATGGTGGGTGTGACTGATCTCCTGATCTCATCCCTCATGCAGCGAGCACCAGTCATCTCCTGCACCACAGTGGTGGGCAGGGTGCCTGTCACCTCCTGCAAAGCGGGGTGATTTGGGGACCACTGAGGAGAATGCATGCAGGCATTCCCTGAATGCACAGAGACAGCTCCTGCCTCAAGGGTTTTCTCATACATATTTGCTTTGAAATCTATATACAATATCCTGTCTTACTCCGTGGATATAGTGATTATCACTGATCCAGTATGAAGTTGCTGTGACCGAGTTATTTGCATCTATTTATGCCGGTAGATGACTGGGCATCAGTTTACCTATGGTCACAGCGAAGTTGGCAGTTTGGGAAGCTCAAGTGCTTTACTGTCTGACAGCAGATACCCCACGGACAGATTTACACCAGTGTTAAATGACTGGCCTCTTGACAATTACAGGCTTGTGGGCCACTGTGCTGGGGTGGATGTGAAATCTCTGCCAAGCTGTGGTGTGCTGCAGCCCTGAGCTCTTTGCAACAGCCAGGAGGCTCGAACTCTTGCAGGCAGTGACAGAAAGGTGCTGCGGCCATCCTGTCTGTCTTTCTGCATGGGTTGCTGTTGCTTGCCTCCCAAAGTGGAGATGAGCATCACAACCTTTGATGGGCTTCTGGTCTGCATATCATTACTCTGATAAGCAAAGTTCACATTGGTGTTGTTCAGGGCCTGGAGCTCCTGGATCTAAAGGCTGACAAAACCTAAGTTTTGGGAAGATGCATCCTTATTGGAGAGATCTTTTCATTGTAACTCATTAGTTCTTGGCTGCTGTTTCTGTAGATGTAAGCTGCAGGTCCTGTTCTTCCCTTCTGATTGTAGCTGAAGGGCTCAAAGCAGTTGAGCTGCTGAGGGGCAGCTCTACCTTTGCCCATGCTATCTGCTGTGTTTGTGCTGGGGTTGGACACCCACTTCTCCTGTCCTTCTCAAAGCAGTTGTTTTCTGCTTCTCTGCAACCCCAGTGAATATATTAGATGTAAAATTATAATCAGCACCACCAGGGGAGTGCATCTCCTTCCATTTCTTCACTTCTCTGAATACTTGCAGACGCCAGACACGTTCATTCCTGGTGTGTGCTGCTGTACTTATGGTTTCATTTTGTCCCTCTGCATTTGGGGTGCATGGTTTCTTCTCGCTTCCTTGACACGGGGACATCCAAGCGATGACGTGGCTTTCTGTGTATGCTTTCTAAACTTTCATCCTCCTTCAAATAAGAATCTTTTCCTACTTCTGGGGTGAAAAGACAACGCAGTGAGCTCACTCTTACCTTTAGCAAGGAATTGCTTTTTAATTAAAAAACAATAAGGAATTTCAGGTTTTAAAAGATGTCTGATATAAATCACCATCTAGATCTGTTTCACAACTTTTTTTTTGTAATTGTTTGGCATGTTCCCCATTTCCGCGGGCTGAGTAAATCCTTTGTGGGTTTAATCTCTAGCCTGCAGGCACATAAAATGCATTGCACAATTTGGCCTTTGCATTTCAGAGAATCTTCTTCCTTGGCTTAAATACCTGTAGCATCTCCATGCCGTATGGCAGGGTGGTGTTGAGTGAGGAGGGAAGAGATCACTTTGTCTTAATTTTAATCCCCCTTCATTGTTTCCCCAGCTTTGGTTTTCCTGTTAGCAGCGCACACACACACTTTGAAATGCAAATAATCTCTGGATATCACTAGCTGATGCTCCTGTTGCCACGTCACCCACCGCCCACCCGTTCGTGTGCCAGCTCTTCCCATCCTAGCAGGGTGGACGGCCAACTTGTGCTTCCGACCTGTATGAACCTGTTGGTGCTGTGTTTGAACAGTTGGGACTTGGGCTGTGTCGGCCATGGCTGCTAGAGACATTTGTTCAAGAAAACAGCCACCTTGGAGCTTTCACTTCTTTCCCTGCTAGAAGCAAAGAGATGGAAGTGGGGAAATGCCAGCAATTCCTGTGGGTTACGTGGTTAGTTATTGAAGAGCTTGGCATTCACAGATGTCTGAACAGCAAGAGAAACCTGAATGGCTCTGAAGTTGGGTATCAGTGTGAACTGCATTGCTTTGGAACAGCAGAGAAGGGTGAAAAGTCTCCTGCACAGGGGACATCTAGAAAAATGGGTTAGGGTGGCAATGTAGTGAACCTTGTAAGAGTTTCCTTTTCACTGTTCCTGTTAAATGAGTATTCTTAATTCAGCTAGAGCTTCTAAACAGAAACCAGTGACTTCAGCCCATGCTGAAGTCACGCATTTTGCTGAGTAAAGGTTTCCAGATGCGAACGCAGTTTGGGGATGTGCTGCGCCAGCACGTTAGTGCAAGAATGTCCTAAAAGGGAATCTAATATGCTGTGAACTAGCACAGTGAGTAGGAGTGTCCTAGCTGAGGGTGTTCATTACATAACCCCCAGGATGGTGACTGCCTCTGTTTTGGAACCAGCTCTTAAGTTGTGCTCCAGGTCCCAACGTGGACCAGGTCGTTTGGAATGTTTTCACTCCTCAGAGCTTTGAGGTCTGTGTGCATCTTATTTCACCATTTCCTCTCTGCCTTGCTGAATGAGATACTTAACTTTAAAAGTAAGGAGACTGATGTAGGTTATTCAGCATAGGTATGAGATGCTTTCAAAAGATAACTGACAAGTCAGATTTGGCACGACTCTCAGGTTGGTCAGGGTCTTGCTTTTAAATACTGTTCAGTTCCAGGCTTCATGGTTTTTACTCCATTTTCAAAACCAGGAGGGCTTTTAACAAAACAGGATGAATTACTTTATATGTGTTGTTTTCAGTGCTTCCAGGATTACAGGGTATCATAAAATGAATGCTTTCCATTTTTTGTATAGACACACTGCCCTTCTGTCCCCCCCCTACCCCCCTCCTTGTTCAAGGGATGCATAAGAGAAATAAAGATTGTATTTGATCATATAATAGCACAGTTCTTTTTGAACATTTTTGTCTTTGGGAAAACTAGGTGTTAGTCTTATGTTCTACTTTTCTAAAACAAGTAGAGATTTAGCGTTTGTTTTGTCACTTGTTTGGAAGTGTGGCAGGGAGATTGGAGCTTGATGATCCTTGAGGTCCCTTCCAACTCAAGCCATTCAATGACCCTATGACTCTGTGATTCTCTGAACAAATGCAGTGCATGTGCATTTGGCATATGTATAAATCCATCTCCATCCTTCTCGTATGCCTCCACCTCTCTAACTGACCATCCTGACTCTCTTGCTCTTTTTACCTTTTTTCCCCTCATTCAGTATTCCACCGAACTGAAGAAGCTGTACTGCCAGATTGCCAAGACATGCCCCATTCAGATCAAAGTGATGACCCCACCACCCCAAGGAGCCGTCATCCGGGCTATGCCAGTCTACAAGAAAGCAGAGCACGTCACCGAAGTGGTCAAACGCTGCCCGAACCACGAGCTGAGCCGGGAGTTCAACGAGGGTAAGAGGGCAGTGCTTTTGCTCATAGTCCCTTTCCAAAGCTGCTTGGCCCATAAGCAGTAGTGCAGGGGCTTTGCAGCAATTTCACAGCAAGCCTTTGGAAGCAGGCCTCCTTGCAGTGGTTCATTTAGCTTTTTACTCCCTGTGCTTAGCAGGAAGCTTAGTCCTGTGCTTTAGTTATCCCTGTGCAAGTGTGTCCTTGAGAAGAAAGTACGAAAATAAACCTCGTGCCTGCCCAGGTTGGATGGATGTCTGTCCCCGTAGCAGGCAGTGCCTTTCTGGCAACCTTTCCCCACTCTGCTTGTGCTCCCTCGATGAGAAGCAGCTGTTTTTGTGCTCAGGAATGAGCTTCCATGTCGCTGGGGCAGGGATCTAGTAACAGGATGCAATATCATCTCCAGTCCTTAATCCACGTCTCAAAGACAGAGGGGCTGTTTATCTCTGGCAGGATAACACTAAGTGCCAGCATCAACTGCAGGCAGCCTTCCTGTATGCTTAACATTATCAGTTCTCTCATATGAGAAGAATCAAGATTAAAACAAGATTACTGTGAAGTAGTAGCTGCTATAAAAATGTCACGGGGCTTTCTGCAAACTCATGAGCTAGACTCCATTTTTCTGTGGCTGCTTAAGTTCACATAAGTTCAGATGAGCATCTGTTTTAGTCTACGTGCGTTATTCACCTCCTACTATAAAAAAAGAAAAAAGGTGTCAGTTAACGGGGTGTTTGAGGAGCCTGGATCCCTTGGCTGGGTACAGTGTGGTCAGCTAGACAAGCATAAAAACAAGCAGGGACTTGGGATATGAAAGTCAGAATGAAGTGAGACAGTTCTTTGAAATAAGCTTTTGTGTTAAAATGCTTTGGACAGAATGTGAATATTATTTTGAGAGTTTATACTTGGTTCAGAGACATACCTTTAAGGAGGAATGTGATTTAAATGCTGAATTTGTGTTTTGAAAGTAGTTTTCTCAAAATACACTGTATTTTGAGTAAGAAATTAACTGTTCAAACACAATGAATTGGGAGGCAAAATGAGTTGGGAGGGACTTTTCGTAAGGGCATGCAGCAGCAGGACAAGGGGGTAATGGTTTTAAACTGGAAGAAAGTAGATTTAGACCAGATATCAGCAAGAAATTCTTTGCTGTGAGGGTGGTGAGACACTGGAACAGGCTGCCCAGTGAGGTTGTGAATGCCTCTTCCCTGGAAATATTCAAGGCCAGGCTGGACGGGGCTTTGAGCAACCTGATCTAGAGGGAGCTATCCCTGCCTATAGGAGGGGGGTTGAAACTAAATGGTATTAAGGGTCCTTTCTAGTGCAAACCATTATGTGATTCTGTGAGTTCTTTAGGTGAACCTGAGACACACTTCTTTCTTCAGAACTTATCTGTGTTGTAGAAACACTAAAGAAAATTTGCAGGAAAGAGGGGAAACTTTTTTGGTTTTTTTTACATTGAAAAGGTGCCTAGAAACATCACGTTCCCTGCATCTGTTAGCTAAGGAAGCATTGTTTTTATGTGTTTTTTTTGTTTGTTTGTTTGTTGGTTTGATTTTTGTCTGGCAGATGAGAATTTGGGAAGAGGTGTTTCAAGGTCTGGGGAGGCATGTGTGTGCTGTGATAGACCTGTGGGACAGAGTGTGTGGGCTCCTATTGGTTGGGAAGTCTTGCTGCCCTGCACTTCAGCTTGTGTCAGTCAGTGATGTTTTTGTCGCCCTGCCCTTGCAGGGCAGATTGCACCTCCTAGCCACCTGATCAGAGTGGAAGGAAACAGCCATGCCCAGTACGTGGAAGACCCCATCACTGGAAGACAGAGTGTGCTGGTCCCATATGAGCCACCTCAGGTATGTTGTAAGCTCAGGGCTGGGGCATCCTGACATTCAAAAGGGTTGGAGTTCAAACTGTAGCCAAAGGAGCCAAGATCTTGTACGTGCCCTGTCCTCATCACTGTTAATCCCTCTTCATCAGAAACAGGGCTTTAGACACTCTCTACATTCCTTCAGAGTATGAGTTCTTTATTTTTTTAATTTGAGGAAGCCTTGTTGTGGGGAAGACTTGATGATAGCCTAGTTCTTTATTGTACAGATGTGGGAGTGGGAGGGATTTTCAGAGGGACAGCTAGAAAAAGCAGAGCTTACCACTCACCATCTCTTCTGCTCATCCTCTCCATCTCATCCAGGTTGGTACTGAGTTCACAACAGTCTTGTACAACTTCATGTGTAACAGTAGCTGTGTAGGAGGGATGAACCGTCGCCCAATTCTCATCATTGTCACACTGGAAACCAGAGAGTAAGTGGTGCATAACAAGTGTAGCTTGAGATGGCCTTCTGGCTCTTCTTTTGCTCAGGGCAGTGTTGCAAGGTCCTTAGGGATATATTTGATTTTAGGGATCATGGAACATTTTTAAATCTTGAGAGATAGGAGTTGCCCAGTAACTGGATATTGACTGGCACTTGGGGGGTTTGGGTTGGTCTATGCGTAGTCTGGTGCAAACCGTTCAGGTTCTGTACTTACCATGCTCTTATGTGAAGTAGATAAGGGTGTTTTTGATGCAGATAAAAAGTTTCAATACATGGAAGAAGTCTCACCAGTATGTCTGTCTGGCTTAATCCTCCTGTGAATAGCTGGATGCTTTGCTCTGTGTCCACTGAGCAGAGTGCTTTCATGCCCTCTCTCTAATATAGCAAATTTCTGTGAAACTGCCAGGGAAAAGGTGGAGACCAGTGGTTAGACTTAGCGAAAACAAAGCATCTGGCAGCTATTCTAGCTGATCACATTTGGTTTAAGTCATTGAAAGTGGAATTTGATGATCTTGGAAATCCTTTCCAACCTAAATAATTGTGTGATTCCTTCAAATCTGACTGTGATGTCATCCCTTCTGCATAGGTTCCATTTAGGAAGATCAAGTCAACAGTTGTATCAGTGCAGATAGATAATCTGAATCCGTTCACTTCTGTAACTTGTGTTGAATCTGTGTATTATTTACTAACCATGTCTAAGATGAGCTTCCAGGAGATGGAACTCATGAATACTGGCCTAGAGGGAGTAAAGCAGGAGTAGATGCTAGCTTCTGATTTTGGCCTCCTGTAAGCTTGAAGGTGTGAGGGATGCTGACGGTGACTATCTGATCTGCTGGCTGATGTCCTCTTTCACTTTCCTTCCCAGTGGACAAGTCTTGGGCCGCCGATGTTTTGAAGCTCGCATTTGTGCTTGCCCAGGCAGAGATCGCAAAGCAGATGAGGACAGCATCCGCAAGCAGCAAGTCTCTGACAGCACAAAGAATGGTGATGGTACGAAACGCCGTAAGTAGCTGGCAGAGCTGGGCGGATTGCAGATGACGCTGTCAGCAGGTGCAGCCCTGGCACTTGTGCTGTGGGGATGGAGCGGTCCTGCGCATGGGCTTGGAAGCAGGAGGGCATTAAATGTCTGTTTTCACTGGGTGAATCAATCTGCAAAATGAGCCGGTGTTCACAAAACGTTTGACAATCTGTAGTGGTGTTACAAGCGCTGTTTGTTCTGACTGAAGGGGGATGACTCTATCTCAACACCTTCAGGGTACCTGGATGGGACTGTAACCACTTCCACACTGTAACCACTTCCACACTGTAACCGCTTTGTGTGGGACTGTGCTGTTGTTCCCTCATCCTTTTAGCAATTGTCTTCCACAAACAGGAATCTAGATAAAGACTTCACACAAACTGTGCTGTGTGTCTGAGGTCCTAAGGCAAGTAGCCTCTTTCTGTGCTCTGTGGAGTACAACACACTCATCAGAAGTGCAAAAAATGGAAACTCAGTCTTGGTTTCTCATATGTGCTCAGTGATAACACTGGGTTGTATAGCAAAGAGGCAAACTTGAGACAAATAGGAGATTTTCATTTCCACAGTGGGTTCTGTATGCTCACTTCATCCACTCACTGTGGATTACTGATCCACCAATGGCTCTTTGCAGGTTGTCTGCTTTACAAAGCCAGTAGCTATGCACATTGTTTTGGAGTGGTTCAGGCAGAGATCCTTTCAAAGCACTGCATGTTAACACCAGGCTTACGCTTGATTTCTCTCTTTCTCTATCTCTTCTTTTTTACTTCCTTTGCTGTTTGTGTTTTGCTTTAGTTTAATGGGATGCTTTTTTGTTTTCTTCTAGCTTTTCGACAAGGAACTCATGGCATACAGATGACATCTATCAAAAAAAGACGTTCTCCAGATGATGAGCTCTTGTATTTGCCGGTGAGTTCTCTCTATCTTTTGCTTTTATCCAATGTTTCTTATCCTCCTTAGTGCATTGAGGCAGGTCAACTGCTCACCTAGACATCATAGAGAACTGTGTTCAGTGGGTAGGGTTGGAGTGTGGAATACTTTCCCTAGAGATGCATCGGTTTTAAATGCGTGTTCCAAACAAAATTTGTTAAAAAAAAAATTAAATCTTATTGACTGTTGATTGAGACTGGCTTGTGCTAAGCAGAGGGTAGGATCACCATCATGGAGACCTAACTAGGTTTCCCTCCTCTGATGTTTTTGAGTCCGTAGCACTTGAATTTTCTATAGGGATGATGTGTTGAATCCTGCTTTCTTGCTGAAGCTTGTGGGTTTTGTGTACTACCATTACAGTGGGATGGTAGAGGTAAAATACTTAGTAATAAGTGTAGGATCAGAAAAGGCAAGAAAGTAATTGGCCACTGAACTGCTTTCACTGTAAGTCACATTTAGCTGGGTGAATCACAAATGGCAGCCTTCTTGGGGGAGAAGGGAGATCTAAACTTAACATCCAAATTCAGTAATCCTTTTTTTCTTAAGCATAAGTCAAAGTTCATCACCACATTTGATTTGGACCAGAACATTGCTTTTGACTGGTATAGATTTATGTCAAGGTAGATGACAATCTCAAGATGTTCACTAGCCTGCAGTGTCAGATTATCTCTTCAACATTTATCTGATGTACATCTAACACAAGACTTAGCAGTTTTACTGCTTACATGTTGAGTGTAGGCAGTATTTACATCCTGCTGTGGCTGTTTACTTGAATGTATCTACAGCTCACTGAAGTGGTGGTCACTTTAGATGCAGTTCCTTAAGGCTTTTCTTTTCATCCTCTTCCTATGACCTAGGTGAGGGGACGAGAAACATATGAAATGCTACTCAAGATAAAGGAGTCCCTGGAACTTATGCAGTACCTTCCCCAGCACACAATTGAAACTTACCGGCAGCAGCAGCAACAGCAGCACCAGCACTTGCTCCAGAAGCAGTAAGTATGGATGTGCTTGCAGTGACCTCTGTAATGAGGATTGTGGGGAAGGGAGAGAGAGGAGAGAGACACAGAAAACTTCTGCACAGGTGTTTATAGGGACGCGGTGCTTAACCAACAGTATGAAACTGCTGATCTCCTACAGAGCCGGTAGAAGTCAATACCAGGAAGAAAAACTTCAATACCAGAACTTGAGAGAGAGATTTTGCAATGGGACAAAGCAGTCCTCCTTTCTTAAATGCAGGTCCTGACTGCTTGCAGGTCCCTTTCTACCTGCTACATGTGTGTGACCAAGCCAAGGAACATGGGGTGGGCTGTGCTGTTTTCCCAGCTTTGTGGGAATGGGAGTGAACGTGGAGCCCTCTGCCCCTTCTCTGGGGAATCCTCTGAAACATTTTGCAAAGAGCATACGGTGCTGGAACTGTGAGCATCAGCCTGCCCATGTGCTTGAATACTGCTGCTGCACTGATTTGATGTTGTTGAAGGGCTGGTGGCTGTCTCTTGGTGGGATGTAGATATTGCAATCTCCTGAGCTGTAACACTGGAAGCTGACAATTGGGACTGAGGGTTTGACAGTTAAGAATTGCTCTTTGACCAATGGGTACTCCAAAGAAGGGTTCTTTGTTGGCACTTTTAAAGCTTTTTTAAACAAACAAACAAAAAAAAAGTACTCTGTGACTGGCTCTCCATGTTGTGCATGAGAAACTTTCCATCTGGGCAGACACAGCCGCTGTCTGCTAGCAAGGCTCTACCAGGATTACTTCAAGTGGTGTAAGTGGCAGGAGGATAGGGAGAAGAAGAGCCAAATAAGTGTCTGGTTTCAGTCTTCCTCTCTGCTCCTAATGCTTTACAGTTACAGAGACTGGGTGACAGAGTGAGTTTGCAGACAGACCCCAAGTGGTGTCATTCACAGGCCTTGCTTCACCTGCTGTGTCAGGTGGCAGCACATAGCTGGCCAGGCTGTAGGTGGCCGCCAGCGGTAGTGCTTAGCATCTTGTGCGTTCCTCCTGGCAACCTCACGCGTCAGGAGGCCGTGGGTATATCTCATTCCCTTGCAGAGGTTAGCACAAGGCCAAGGCACCACTTAAGTCCCATCTGAGCCTGTAGGGATTTATTTCAATGCCTTGGCCCTTGTCTCAGGGCTTCTGCAATACCACGGCTTTATGCCAGATCTCTGCATATGTTCACATTTTGACCTGTGTGTTTTTAGTGTCAGCTGGAGTCTTGAAGAGGCTTTATAGCCATGTGCTGAAATGGCTGGAGCATCCAGGGGCTCTGGGCAATCTGAGATACTTTTTAATAAAAATAAAATTCAGTCATCTGAGCTGTTTGTGTATATTATAACTTGTGTTTACTAGCTGCTAGGCATTGTGGCCTTTGTGCACTCAGTTGCATCTCTTCAAATCTCCACCTGAACTGCAGCCATTTCAGTTGAGAAATGGTTGTGTAAGCAGAAATGGATGGCAGCAGATGACAGCTTTCATTTGGTGCTGACAGTTGCGTGGCCATAATTACTGTTTTCATTCTTCTATCAATAGGATGGGTTCCTGGCAACTGAAGTTGGTATTTGTTACCTTTAAGACTAGCATGCGTGAGTCTCGCCATTTAATTTAATGAAACTTCTTTTTGGCATGTCTCCTGGCACTTGTCCAGTTAAATACTCATTTTTCTCAGCTGCTGAGTGTGCTGGGGTATTGGGGAGACAGATTAACAGCTTTTAAGGATGCCGAGAACGTGGGGGGGAATTATCTTTCAGTGTTTGTCCAGAGCTACTGGAATTATCTCTGCTGACAGCTTGCCATGAAATAGGGTCCTCTGTGCTGAAATGTACTTTCAAACATTAGGTGCGGTTGGGTTCTAGCACTTTGGCCTCGATCATCTAGGGTATGTATTAATTTCTGAAGGAATGTGTTGAGGGCAAAGGGAAATTGGGGCTGGCGAGACTCATAGATATGATTATACCCCCCCCCCCAAAAAGCCCCCCCAGAGTTCCAGATCGTGATGTGAGAATAAGGAGAGAAGGCACTTTGTAGGAGCTGGCTTTGGTAAGAGCAGTCTTGCATGTGAGTGGGTTCAGTTAACAACATGTTGTACGTTTTCATTTTTTCTGAAGGTTAGGAAGAGCAAGAATGAGATTGTGGTAAAAAGTAATTTTTGTTAAAAAAAAAATAAAAAATAAAAAATAAATAAAATAAAATAAAATAAAAAATCTGACTCTTGGAAACGCTATAATACAGACCAGCACTGCATTTCATGGACCAGCAGTGCTGTCTTACAGTTCTGTAATTAAAAAAAAAAAAAAAAGAACAAATCTGGTGACAGTCAGCTGCCTGTCCCACAAGATGATAAAAAATACTGCGCTGTTCCATGCTGTGCCGGACCGTATCTTTCTCTGTCTCATCTCCTCTCTCTGTTTGCTCCTTTGTGCATGGTTTTCTCTTACTAACCTTATTTACTGTTATGCCAAATACCTTCATGATCATAGGTGGGAAGGCCTTTTTTTTGTTTTGATTTCTGAAGTTTCTATTCTTCCTTTTCCACTACCAAATCCTGTGAAGAGCAGCACACACGTTTATGTAGAGGGCTTCCTTTTCATGCTTTGCTGCTGATGTTTAAAATCTTTCTGTCAAAGGTTGACCAGAATATTTTTGCTTTCAAAGATACCAGAGCCCACACTTCTTATGGGGAAGGAAAGTTTTTTTTTCTGTCGTATGTTGCAAAATGCATTTACAACCAGTGTTCTCAAGGAATACTGGAAAACACTTTTTCATACTCAATGAGACTTCCTGTTGTGGCTTTCACCCTGCTGTTTTCAGAACAGTCTATTTGAATTGGTCAGAGCACGTTAGAAAGAGGTTTGCAAAGTCTTCCAATGCCCACTGAGGAGGTGATTTATATATTCCAGCAGATGTTTCTTTTGTATTAACAGGGCTGCAGCCACCAACCCAGTGGTAGCCTTTCATTCTAGTGAGCAGCCCAGCTCATTACCCAAATGAGAAGGGATTGACCTTGTATGTGAGGTGTGATGGAGCAAAGCTATCCAGTGTCCGGTGTGCTCCAGCTGAGACAAAAACTGTTGCTCACCGTGGCAGGGAGGAGGCTGGTGGGAGAAGTATTCTATTCTACATACCCCCACCTAGATATTCTCATTTTTGCTGTAGAAGCTATGGTGGATTTCTGCATGGTTTGGTTTTGTAGTGTTGTGCTTGCATGTGTTGTGAGCTCCAGGCATTTGGATGCTGTTTTCAACTGAAGCGTTACCAAGGTGAAAGTAAGCAAGAAAATGTGTGGGATTAGGTACGTGAAGACATGCTGTGCTCACTGTGCTGGCACTGAGGGTTGGTGCATTTGCATCAGGTGGAAGTCCCAGCGCCCTCTCAGCTTCAGGCCCTCTGCCTTCCCAAGGGAGAGTGCCTGAGATAGAATCAGTACAGCTCATTCACGACAGGCACCGCCATCTCCCTAGCACCAGCTTCTGGTTTTTAAGTAACCGAAGTTTGAAAGGAACTCTGTGGAAGCTGCATCTCTCACGCATTTGGCTGAGTGCTTTTTTCTTCTCATATTTCTTTGGCTCATTTGAGCTCTGCTGGGAACAGTATCGGGTACCGTTTGCACCCGTGTGACTGGGACGCAGAAATCCGATTGCCATATCAAATAGTTGCTTTTTCTTGCCAAGCACTCACACCTGGGGCTTTCCAACTTCCTAAATTTGCTTGTTGCATACCCTCACTGCAGGTGCTAAGACATCAGTTTATCCTGTCTGTCGAGTCCGTACTGTGATCATGAAGGTGGAAAATGGCTGTTTCTCTCTTGCTGTCTGATGAAGGGCCCTGTACATTCATCTCTTCTTTTCTCTGGTTCCTTCTCTGCAGTCTCCTTTCGGCCTGCTTCAGGAGTGAACTCGTGGACTCAAGGAGAGACTCTCCCAAACAGACCGATACCATCCTAAAACATTCCAGCCCCCCAAAACCATCAGTATATCCATAAATGGAACTGGCGGGTTGGCTTTGCCCAGCTCGTGGGACTAGGAGCACTGGGGCAAATATGCAGCCTGATAGCAACAGAGTACATAGTGAGAGTAATCTCCTGAAGGGACTCAAACTTTGCCAAAACAACAGACGCTTCTACAGATCTCTTAGCTGTAGCCGGTGGCGCTGGGAGCTCTGGAACCATGATGTTGTCTGTCTTGGTGTAACTTTTTCTTCTTGTTTTTGTAATCTCTTTCCTGTTAACTTCTGTATTTGTGAAACACATAGGGTTTCTCTGAGCAGGTCTCAATTTTAAAATGCCTTGTCTTGTATAAATTTTAAGAAAGTATTCAGGGACTGGGTGGGGATAGGAGGAGGGGGGGATGTTTTGAAGTCTGTGCTAATCTGTTAGGCCTGTTTTAATGCCATTTATGCAGTAATAGTGCAATTAGCTGAAGTGTCTGTACTGCTGGACAGAGGGAGATAGTAACTATATTGGCACTAATTAAGTCATTTTTCCCCCGTAGAAATGCCTTCTAGTTTGGTGTTATGAATTGTTTCCCTCTATTTCATAAAAAGTCTATCTAAAATAGATTAAAATTACAGGGAAGACTGGACAACGCTGTCAGACCTTGCACTGAAACTTCTGGGCTTAGTCCAGATGTACTGAACTTAGAAAGCTCCTTCCTTGCTCTCATGAGCTCAGTCCAAGTGGACAAGTGAAGGTGAAGTTGGAGTCTTGCTGTGTAATGACATCCATGTGTACCCAGTGTCCCTGTTCCTTTATTATTGAGGGTGTAAAGGGCAATCTGTTCATCGCATGACCTATTGAAAGCTTATCCAAAGGTCAGAGCTCACTCCTTTCCATGCAGACTTTCAGCAGTTATTAGATGTTCCTTCATTAAGCTTACTACATTGTACCCTTCGCTACTGTCAGCAGTTCAAAGATGTGCCAGCATCTGTTAGAGATAGCTCGGCCTGATGGCCTTAAGCCATTCCTACTTTGTCCAGTAATCCTGCAATCAGTAGCCA